TTACCCACTGAGCCATTGGGGCAGTCCTCTCCCACCCACATCTAATCATCAGAAGGCTGTCTCCACCTTCACAGAACGTCCAGAGTCTGATCACTTCTCATATTCACTGTGAGTGCCCCAACTGAAGCCTTAGGAGCATGTTTGCTAGAGTAACAAATGCCTCCAAAGGTGTCTCCCTTCTGCCACTCCCCTGTAGTGTGTCCTTCAGTCATTGGCCAGGATGACCCTTTCACCCTCCTCAAAACCTGACAGTGATGTCCTAGCACATTTGGAATAACACTCATAGTCCTCCCTCCGTAGCCTGGCCCCTGCCTACCTCTCCCTCTTTCTCCCTCCTACCTTGACCTGCTTGTTCCAACCACACTGGCTTCTGAGCTTTCCTACAAAGTGCAAAGCATTCTCCTTCCCTGGGGCCTTTGAACATACTCTCTTCTAGAATGCTCCTTGTCCACCTCTTCTTGTGCCTACTGTTTTATTTTATTCAGCATTCTGAAGGCTTTCCTGGTCACAGCATTGAACTAGCTCTCCTCATCCATTTCTCTCTGATGGACATGTTATCTGATGCCATCTTCTGTTTTGGTTCACTTCTGTCTGTCTACCCCTCTAGAAGTTCACCTTTTCAAGATCAGGGGCTTCGTCTTGATCATTTTTGTGCATTTCTATTGTCTGAATCCAGACTTACATATAATTAGAGTTCAAAAATTACTTCTTAAAAGAAAAAAGGAATAAACGCATGGTTGAGTAAGTGATTTGCTTACTATTGGGCAGGCTTATTTCTGTTCCTAGGGAGTCCTGCTTTTAATTCCTTTCTGCCATCCATCTCACATACGTACCTTAGCATTAACTAAAATATTCTTACACAAGTTGTTTCCCTTGGGTATTCAGTATATAAGTGGCTGACAGTGTGACGTCTCACTAATGGTGAGGTCATTGGAATAATTTTCACATAAAAGGTTGATGACAGGTTTCCCTAACACTCAGAGTAACCAGGCAGCAAAATGGTTTTCAGGGCCTTGAAAAGGCATTAGTCTTCAAAAAATTGTTATTTCAACATTTTGTGGAAACTTGAATTTTTACAGTTAGATACATTTATTTGGTTTATATTTTATTTTTCTTTTTAACTTGTTCTTATCTCCTGAAAACGCTAAAATTTGAGCCTATGTGACCACAGTGTTCATATTCTAATGGCGTGCTGCAGTCCATGGGGTCGCAAAGAGTTGGACATGACTGAGCAACTGAACTAAACTGAACTGAATGGATGATATTCTCAGCAAGTCTCTTTATAGACTTGTTGGGAAGACTATATGAAGTTATACACCTAGATTTGTTAATGCAGTGCCTGTAACAGACTTAGTATGCAGAAACTTTGATTGTTATTATTGCTTGAGGTATATGTCATGATATCCTAGAAGCCTTAATAAATGAATGCCTTATCTGTCCTGTTCAGTCAGGCCATGTGACAAGACAAATGGATCCATTCATGAGGAGCTACATTCATGAGGGGCTATGAGGATCGACTAATTGGTTTCATGTCATGGCCGTTTACTTTACTTGAGGCATTTGTACAGTTGGTTTCAAAGTGTTCTTTATTGACAAGACGCAGAATCTTGGCCTTTGAGACACCTCCTGTCTCTCTCTTAAGCAAAAGGACAAAGTAAGGCTTGAAACGCAGCAGAGTTGGGTGAGAGAGGGTGGAAAGGTCTGGGCTTTGATGTGGACTTGGCCATTAAAGAGAATGTCCCTGGCAGTCAGGAAGCCAAGTTGTCCAGAGGCTAGAGGGCTATTCCTGTCACAGCCTCTGAGGGAGATAGCAGGCAACATTTAGCTGAGAAGACTCCTTTGATTTCCTATTCTGTCAGATCCTAGAGATACTTTCCCAGGTTGGATGAGTTCAGAATGTTCAGTTTTTCTGGCTTCTAGGTGATTTGTGACTGAACATACTGCATTTGAAAAAATAAAAATAAAAAAGCAAAGACTATGAAAAGACCAGCATGTTAAAAAGGAATATAGAAGTCCTTCACTAGTGTGCTTTTTTCCTTTGCCTCTTGCTAGGTTGGTATTTTCTCTGAGGTAGTAAGCAATACAATCATGATCAATGTCTTCTATTTTTTTTTTTTTTTAAGAGAATTTGTTGTTTGGTAGTGAATGGAATTTGGGTGTTTCGGGTTAAAGAGCTACCAAGAGGGTTTTTGTTACTTTATAGAAAACCATAGTCATTAAACTTTTCTTTTCATTTATCTCTAAAATGACTTCCAAAATTCCTCCATTGCTAATTCTTACAGGGTCATGATAAATTTATTGAAAAAGCAGTTTATGCAGCATCATGGCCCATTCCTTTCAAACAAGTGAACAAATTGCTGTGACTTGCTATGATTCTAAATGCTCTTAAGTTTCTTTTATTCTCTTTACTGAATTTTGATTCTTGGAGGTAAGACTATGGCATTCCTGGATCCCTAATATTAACTTCTGATAAAATCAATTAAGTTCTCATAAGTACAATGTTGGGTGTGTGTGTGTGTGTGTGTTTTCTATGTCAGTGAGAGACAAAAAAAAAAACCAGGTGTGGAAGGACAAAAAAGGGAATTAATATTGATTGAACATTTGTTATGTGTTTTAATCCACATTCAGTGTTATTACCCTTATTTTACCGATAGGAAAATAGAACTGAGCCAAAGTCACATGACTAGTAAGTGGAAAGGCTCACATTCAAACCATGTCTGATTCCCAAGCATGCTTGTTGTCCACACGTTTCTGCACCTTTTCCCCACCTAATTTGCTCACTATATCATAGGAGCCTTAGGCCAGGACTGCATCTAACCTCCTTAATAGCTAGAGAGCTGTTTTAGGGAATCAGTGGGGGGAGAGGATTTGAAATGAGAATGTGGTAACTGTCCAGCAAACCCACCCCTGCCACACTGTGCCTTGCCTTAGAGTCCAGATTCAAGAGAACTGACCTGTGTCCGAGAATCAGAGACACAGGGGACAAGCCTTCTGCCTGAGTGACCGTGGAGTCTAGGTGACCCTTCTGTCTAGTGAGGAGAAAGAGCTTTGGATCATCACCTCTGGAGAAGGACCATCTCTGGAAAGACTTAGACTTTTCTCAATCATTCATGCCCAGGAATTAGAAACATATTATTGTCTATATTCATCTAATAAAAGCAGGACTTAGCTCTACACTTCAAACCCTTGTCCAGCTCTCTGAGTGACTTTCACTTGGAAAACCCTGTGAAAATGAAGTACTGAGGTGAAGGGAGCAGAATCCTGTTACAACAAACCCTACAGGATTATCCAAATTCTTTTACTACAGTGGGCTTTTCATAAGACTGATGATCCTCAGCTTTCATGCTTTGTAGAATGACAACCCTCATTATCAAGGGCTTTGCTCACTCTGAGGTATTTTAGAGATTTGCTTCCTGATTTTGATGTCTGTTACTTGATTTCGGTTTTACTCTAGTTTCTAAAAGGCCAGGGCCTTGGTGAGGTATGTTTATTTTTTAGTGCTATTTTTTTCTTTGAACAATCCCCAAACTGAGAAATTTTTCCTAAAATATGAAATGGGACAGCAGATATGAGAATGTTCTTAGGTTTCATTTGTTGCTCCAGTAACTAATGAATCTGCTGATATTTATGTGAATTCTGTAGGGTTATATTAACGCCATGGGCTTGAGGAATGCTCTTATAAACCACAAAAGGAGATTCTGTCTGAAATCGTTCTCTAGGTATGAATGTAGTATTATTATCGTTGTTTTATATTCTGTAAGTTGTGTAGAAACTTCATTATGTCTTGCCCCTTATTTGTGTCTATCACTGTGTATCTGAATCAGTTGTAAACCAAGAAGATATATTCTATGTCAGTATAACAATGGCATGTCTGTATATGTGTGAAAAAAAGAAAAGCAACTCACCAATTAAATATAGTGGTACATGGAAGCTGAGCACCAAAGAATTGATGCTTTCAAACTATGGGGTTGGAGAAGACCCTTGAGAGTCCTTTGGACAGCAAGGATATCAAACCAGTCAAACCTAAAGGAAATCAGTCCTGAATATTTATTGGAAGGACTGATGCTGAAGCTGAAGCTCCAATGCTTTGGCCACCTGATTCTAAGAATTGATTCACTGGAAAAGACCCTGATGCTGGGAAAGATTGATGACAGGAAGAGAAGGGGATGACAGAGGATGAAATGATTGGATGGCATCACTGACTCAATGGACATGAGTTTGAGCAAGCTCCAGGAGTTGGTAATAAACAGGGAAGCCTTGTGTGCTGCAGCCCATGGGGTCATAAAGAATTGGACATGACTGAGTGACTAAACTGAACTGATGGTGAACTCATTTTTAATACATATACCTTTATTCCAATGGGGTCAAACTGATAGAAATACCTGTATCAATAAGATTGAAAAGTTGGAGGTACTCTCTGTTCATTTAAAATAATATACTCACACATTCATACACTGTCCAACCAATTAAAAAAGAAAGCCCAACTTTCACACAAAATCATCTAAAAGTTTGTGGAATTAAACCCCATGATGAGTTCACCTCCTGGGAATTAAGCACATTTGGTTTCCAGCTCCTTCCTCTAATTTTTTTGGCCATGCCACATGGCATGTGGGATCTTAGTTCCCCAGCTATGGATGAAACCCACACCTGTTGCGTTAGAAGCATAGAGTCTTAACCACTGGACTACCAGGATCCTTTCTCTGATTCTTTACTCTCTTAGAGCTTTAAGACTGAGATATTTTCTACTATTTATCCATATTTTCCATCATTCAGTCTTCTGGTCCTGTGCTATTAGCATGATAAACTGCTTACTTTTTCTCAAGGAAATAGAAGAGGTTTAGTATTCAAAGCTGGTAAATTTCTTTATCCATAGGCAAAGATTTGATACTAGAAAGAGAGATGATTACATACATTTGATGTCAATAACTTAAGTTTCCTGTGGAATTCTGTGTTTTCCTTACTTCTTCTTCTTCTTCTTTTAAACAAATCACACCAAACAGGTATTCCTGGAAGACCTCTGAATGGAAAGAATGCCAAGTCTCTCTCCTTCTCCAGCAGCAGTACCTCCACTGGCATGAGACAGGACCCATTTGTGGAGGTGGGATCCAGACCCGAGAGGTGTTCTGTGCCCAGGGCACACCAGCGTCCACAGCACAGAGGGCCAAGGAAGGTAGGCGGCCAGTCCTGGGGTCAGATTCTGCTGCTGATTGCCATGGAAATGCATTCCAGTACCATCTCCGCATATTCTCCTCGGGATAATGGACCTTCAGCATTCAGAAATTTAAAATTTTATTGCCTATTTGCCAACTATCCTTAAGTTCTGCCACTTGCAATAGTTAGGAATAGTTAAAAAAATACTAGTGATAATAATTTCCTCAATTGCAAAGGATCATTGTGAAAATTAAATGAGAAAATAGACCTAAGATCAGGAACAGAAATGAATGCAACATGATAAGGGGCTAGTATGCTGGAGTCAGCCAGTTGGCAAAGAAGTAGTAACATTCTTTTTCTTTTTTTTTAAGAGAGGTTTTTTTGTGAATGTGAGAACTTCTATGAACATATTGTTTTCAGATATCAAGGATCCATTCTCTTATTGCCAGAGTTTAAATAATAAGAAAATAATAAGGAAGAAAGTAGGGGAGGAAAAACAACTTTCACCATGGTAGGCTCTCATTAGGTGTATGCAGTCCTTTTGTTTCAGAGTTTGGCATGGTGATAACATATAAGAACTGAAAAACTGGCCCAGATTTACTTAAGTCAATGGATTGAAAAGCCAAGAGTGTACAGTAATGCTTCCAGTCTAGAAAAAATGTATGGTCTGTACCAGACACATTGGAGGGGCACTCATCTATGCCCTCTGTAGAAGTGGTCAAGATGGAAATGCTTCCTTGAGAATGTGCGTGTACATTTCTCTACTGTAGAACTTGGTTGGGGAGAGAGATGTGAGCTTTCTTATTGTGGAGATATATCCATTTTATCCTGTGAAGTTTTTCACACCAGGTACCTTTTTTTCTGACATGGCCTCCTATCATTTCAGAGGCCATGACCATAACCTTCTATGATTCACTGCATGACTAATAGAAGGGTCATCTTTACAGACTCCTTAGCATTTGCTTCAACAATTGAAGTTACAGTGCTGCATTTGTAGGGCAAGAATTATTTAATAGGTGAATTTTCTTCCTTTCTAATGTCACTTTTGGAAAGTGAAAATTTACACACTTTCTCTGCCAGGATAGATGTGACTATGCTTACTTTTCTAAATTTGGAGGAATAGAATTTAGATTAAAAAATTCAAATTTTCTTTCAGACCTTCTATTTTACTTTCTCTTTCTTATCCTTTACTGTTGTCTACAGTAACAGGGTCTTCAGGGGTCAAAACATATATAAGAATTTTTAGAATTGATATATTATGATCTATTTTCAGCTTCAACATTGAATCTTCTATTGACATCTTCCTAAAGTTTCTTTAGTAAAAATAGCTTTCTTATCTTATGTATCAACTATTTCTAAAGTTTTTTTCAACCTTAGTCTTTCCAGCTTTCTTAATGGAAACATGCTGGGAAGGAAGTTTGTAATGAGGAAGAAATTGGAAGGATGGTGTTCTAGGGTTGGGAATCACATGCTACATGTTAGGAAATGTTAAGTAGGGGGAAAGATGTTAAGTGCACATTTAGCAGCCTGTTAAGCCCCAGTATAATATGCTTCAAGCACCTAAAAAAGAGGAAAAAATCTTAGGACAAGGTGCTTCTAAATTAATACTTTGGACATGGAAACAGAAAGTGCTTAGAAAGCCTAAGCTTAATAACCCACATCTTGGGGGCTGGTTGGTGGAGGTGCTTAGATGTGGGGACAAGATGCATACCCATGCATGTATGTGATGAAACCATATATTCATGTAGAAATTTGAATAAAGTAGTCAAACTGTTGCTGCATTGGAAAATACAGGACAGCAACATTGGATTAAAGGCACGGTATAGCTTACTGCTTATATCTGTAGTCATTAACAAAGGTCTGATTTTGCCGTTGTGTGGAACTGAGCCAGGAATATTATTTATTAGTTTTGTTTCTTATAAATGCTTTCATTTTCTGCTGTTATCATTTATGGATTGTTGTTTAGTCACTAAGTTGTGTCTGACTCTTTTGCGACCCTGTGGACTATAGCCCACTAGGCCCCTCTATCCATGGGATATTTCAGGCCAGAATACTGAAGTGGGTTTCCGTTTCCTCCAAGGGATCATCCTGACCCAGGTATCCAACCTGTGTCTCCTGCTTGGCAGGTGTATTCTTTACCACAGAGCCACATGGGAAGCCTGTCATTTATGGATATACCTTGACAAATCTGGCAATGTGAAAATTTCTTCTTGGCTCAAGTGAAATATAAGAAAACAATTGAATTACAGCTATAAGAGACCAAAGTGTGTGTTTGCCTAATTAAAGAGGCAGAATTTAAATATTTCTAACCTTTCTGATAATGCAGTAACAAAGGCCAAACTTGGTAACTTTTTTTTTTTTTTTTTGCATTTCCATTTTTGTGAAGATCAGCTTTTTTGTTTTGTTTTGTTTTTCCCATTATTGCGTCAGATTTTGTTTTGGAGGGAGAGGGACATTTAATGGCACTGATTTTGGTAAAGTTTTCTCAGTCACAGTTGACTTTCCCACCAGGTTTGGTTTACCTTTGGATCCAGAATATTTTGCTTACTTTTTGGAGTGGAATTTCTTGATTCTTCTCCCTTGAAAATCCCACCATCCACTGTTAACTAGCTGCTCTGCATTCCAAGAACCTAATCTTAGAGGAACCTACAATCTTCAAAAAATAAATAAATAAATCAGGTTTATTTCCAGGATCTCTCATGAGATAAGATGCAATAGAATTTCTAAATACCAGAAGAAAAAAAAAAATTGAAAAGGCTATTAATTCTCTCCCAAGGTTCTCCAAGTATCATTCTGGATGGTAAGGCTGAATTAGGACGTCAGTGCAGTTCTGTTGCCTACTTATTATTGTTGATACCCAATTCTCCATTAGACCTCAGTTCATTGTATGTGTAGTAGTAGTATAATATGGCATATTTACCTGGTTCTGCTAAACATTGACCATATGGTATTTTAATTGTCGCCAAATTAATGCTGTAATATTGAATATGAGAAGTGTTGCTAGTAATAATAACAAGCCAAGCCAATAGTAATAGTAGTAGCCAAGTCAATGTGTGAATCAAACTATAGCAGAATATTTATGATTTTGTTTACCAGTTGCTATTGTAGTAGGATTGTTGGAGAAGGAAATGGCAACCCACTCCAGTGTTCTTGCCTGGAGAATCCCAGGGACGGGGGAGCCTGGTGGGCTGCCGTCTATGGGGTCTCACAGAGTCAGACACGACTGAAGCAACTTAGCAGCAGGGAAAATTGTATTTCTCTTTTATAATTCAGAAACACCTGCAAGAGTGATGCTTACCTATAAATCTAAACACTTGGATTTGTTGATACCATTTTCTTCTTGCCCCTTTCTAAGGTGAAATTAAAACCACTCAGCCTACGTTCAAGAGTCATTAAACAAGGGACATACCATCATTAATCTAATAGAGACAGGGAAAAATGTATTTCATTCAAGACAATGTGGCCTAGAGATTGGCATATCAACAAATGCAGGTTGAAATAGCATAGAAATATAATGTATTTATATGGTGAATAAAACAAAACAGAAACCTAAAAGCTAAAAAAGAAAGACTGGAAAAAGATACTGGTGTGGTGGCAGTTAAGCAGAATATTACCTAGATATTTCCCCATGTTTTAGATTTATTATTTGCCATTAAATGGACTCAACTACTTCGGAATGGACACAGTTTAGCTTTGAATTGTTAAGTATATTTAGTTGACCACTCCACACCAGTTAAGAGTAAATAGTTCTTGAGAGTCCTATGTCTTTATGAAGCTAGGCCCAGAGTGGGCATTAAGGTAGTACATGATATGTCCTAGTTTTAAATATGCTGGTTTGTTGAGTAAAAAAATCGATGACAGTCACACATACATTTTTTTTTCCAAATGATTTGTAATGTACTAGCTATATTTTAGGGCCTGTCCTAGACCCAGGAATTATAAAGATGCCTCATTAACTTACAGTCTTTTAATTGTGACAACAGTTGTACTAACAATTATGCTATAGTGTCTTAGGTAGTGTATTTCAGTAATCTTATATAATATGTTGTTGTTCAGTTCCTCAGTCATGTCCAACTCTTTGCAACCCTCATGGACTGCAGCACGCTAGGCTGTAATATATATGTGTGTGTATATATATGTATGTTATATATATGACATTGTTGTTTAGTCACCAATTCATGTCCAACTCTCCTGCTACCCTATGGATTATAGTCTGCCAGGCTCCTCAGTCTGTGGGATTTCCTAGTCAAGAATACTGAAAAAAAAAAATACTGGAATGGGTTGCCATTTCCTTCACCAGGGGATATTCACAACCCAGGAATTAAACCTGGGCCTTCTACACTGCAGGCAGATTATTGCTGAGCAACTGGGTAAGCCCCATATATATGGCATAGTTAGAACCATTTAATAATGCCTGACATTAATCGTCACAATGCAGATGATGCTTAAAGAGAGTTTGGAGAATCAACAGGAAAAAGTACTCTAAGTTGAGACAGGGAGAACAGATGAAAATATGTAGAAATGTTTATATTCAAGAGTGGCATGTGAACTGTTATAACAGGAGCATAGGAAGTTAAATAACACTTAAAAACTAGGCTCTGAGAAGAACATTACATAATGATTAAGGTATCATTACAAGACAAAGATACAACAATGTATATGCATGCAACATAGGAACATCTGAATACATAAAGCAAATAACAACAGACATAAAGGGAGTAATTGACAGAAACATAATAGTAGTTGGGGACTTTAAGATCCCACTTATATCAATGGACAGATAAGACAGAAAATCAGTAAGGAAACACAGACCTTAAATAATACATTAGACCAATGGACTTAATAGATATTAATAGATCTATAGAGCATCCAGTCCCAAAACAGCAAAAAACAAACAAACAAAAACATTCCTTTTAAGTATACATGGAGCACTTAAGCAGGATAGATCACATGCTAGGGAATAAAATGTCTCATTCAATATAAGAACATTAGAGTAATATCATGCATCTCTTCTGGCCA